CTTCCAAAAGAGGACGATATCCGCTTCGTCATGCCTGGAGCTGATCCGTGCTGGTCGCTGAGGAAATACATCAACTTCGCGCTGTGGATCGCCGGATCGGCTTTCACCGTGGACGAAGCGGAGTCCAGCCCGGGGTCTTCACATGTGGTTGCCGCAAACCCGCCGGACGCTCCTTCGTCAAATCCGCCGGCCGCACCGTTCTCAAGCCCACCAGCCTCAGCTCACTCTAGCCCTCCGGCCGTTCCTCACTTTTTCTGACCGATGAGCTTTGTAAAAATCGATGCGTTTCAGAAAGGCGGGTCATAGAGGATAATGTACAGTATGTGGAAAATAATGTGTTTTTTTTACCTTAAACCGAATAAACACATTTCATTACACCAAATACACAAAATAATGTTCTTTTTAGCAACATCATATGACCCCTTTAAGAGTCCAGGTGTCGTGCCGAAAATTGATCGTCTGCCGAAAACTGATTGACATCCGCGTCCGTCCGTTTTACGCTTGCCAAAAAGTGATTACAGACTCTACTTATTGAGTGAACTGTTATTATTTCTGCATCAAAATGACTTGATTTCATTAATTGTTGTTATTATATTTGACAGATTATATATCTCATTCAGTCCTTTTTACCGGCTGAAATACTTTTTGACAACAACCATGAATGAAATCAAGTCATTTTGAGGCAGAAAGAACAGTTCACTTTTTGGCAAGTGTAAAACTGCATTTTATGGGTTTTATTGGCCATTTAAAAGGTATTTCAACAGGTAAAAAGGACTGAATGAGCTAGAATCTATCAAACATAATAATAATGAAATTAAATTAAGTCATTTTGAGGCAGAAAGAACAGTTCACTCACTAAGTAACGTTAGAGTCTTTAATCACATTTTGACAAGTGTAAAACGGACGGACGCGGACGGCAATCAGTTTTCGGCAGACGATCAATTTTCGGCACGACACCTCGGAATTAGTTGACAGCTTTGCTGACTAACGTTAGCCACAAATGAGTGTTATCAGCCATGCTGTTACAACCGTGCAGCGCTCGTGTTAACACAATATTAGCACTCCAAAGGGCCTTCGGAAAACCGTTGCTTCACAACAACCGACACACCTTAAAACACCAAGAATTGACCGTTCAAGTATTCTAAATTTCTTAACTGTCATCTCAATAACACAAACCCACTCCAGCGGTTAAACTTAGGTCACACTGACTGTTCGGTGGAGCTAAGCTAGGCTATGTTGTGCTAAGCTAATTCTCTAACCACAACAGAAGCGAACTTATCAAAACATCAGCCTGAAATTACCCGTCCTTCAAGAAAAATAACAGTGTATGTCGAGACGTTTCTATTTACCTTGGTGGACGGCAACGTTACAGCCGTGACCATCGCAGTAGACTAGGGGGTTTTCGGCCCAACCTCTCTCATCCGAACAGACGCAGCAGCCTCCAATCATCTCCTTCATATTACTCGCCGAGTCGTCGTCTTCTTCTGGCAGACACAGCTCGCTGGATACCATCTACCATCAGCAGCGCATAAAGACCAACAAAAAGGCGGTCGGGCGTTTGTCTCACGAATCCCTATCTCCCTAGAAAACCGTATATTGAAGGCGGTATTTTTTTTTTTTTTTTGCGATGTGGAGGTGCGTGTGCGCGCATGCGTGGAAAAGCCGACCTACGGGAGGCAGTGTGCTGGAAGAGGCGGGGCTGTTTGATCCACGCAGCGGACGCCATTGAATTTTACCACGAGCAGCAACAGTATGATTTGAGCTACGCCACGGCCTGCAGCGTCTTCACACACAGACGAAACTTACTAGAGAAGTCTGACATAATATAGGCCTACCTCTGTAAATAAATACAATTTAAATGTACGCCTTGCACCCTTTAATGCCCTTTTAATGGAGCATATGCACTACCTTCGAACTGGAATCATGGCGGAATATCCTGTGATGTCTACTTAGCAGGGCGCTTACGGTCGAAGTGATAAGAGAAACATACGAAGTGTGCAGAGCGGTGGTACGCTAGGACTGGAATTGAGAAATACTGCTTTACAGAGCCGTAGGCCTACGCGTGGAGTGGATTTCTGTATTAGGCAGGTTCTGGTTACACAAGTCAAAATTATCCTCAGACCTCGAAATATAAATTATATTCCTTTTCAAACTTTATAAGTGGTACATATCTTCTTTATTCGTTTCGGAAGATATAGGCAAATAAAAAGAAATTACGCATACAGTGGACTTTTGCCCTCAAAATTAATTAGTGCGCTTGTTTAATCTCATTATCAATAAGAATAACAAATTTATAGGGAATCTCGGAGAATCGTTAAGCAGTAGGCCTATGGGTATATCCCACTTTTATTGTTTTGTTCATTTAGATACTGTGTATATTTTTATAGCCTATATGCTGGATACAAGTGTCAATTTCATATGGGAAAAAGCAATTAAATGCCCCACTGTATATGACCGGTTTGCCTATAGGCCTAGTTGAGTCTATGAATTCCCTGTCAGTTTCTTCATGCAAATTTTAGAGGTTATTTTCAACATTAACCACACGCTTAGGTAGCTTTCCGTTTTATTTAATGTCAAGGCTGCTTGCGTGTATGACTATTGTGGGACCATGAAAAACAAAAGAAGTTGGCTATATAGAAAAATGTATCAGGCTTATTTTTATGCTCTGCCTTAAATATTAAAACAAATTAGTGAACATGCAAATAAACACTCATTTAAAACCAATTCTGAACCGATGGTTTTGGCATAGACCTGGACCCAACCGATTCGCAGAGCCCCATCGAACCTGCAATAGGCAACAGTTAAAAACACACGCCTTTTGTGTAAATGACTCGGGATGGGCGTATCGATCCGAAGTATCGATATATCGATACTGACGCGAGTATCGAAAGTATCGATACTCAAACAAAAAATATCGATACTAAGGTGCATTTTATTTACCAGTGGTTTTGTTTATTTAACAAACAAAAAAAATAATAATAATGCGTACAATATGCATTGAATTGGACAAATAACCTTTGTTAGCGAGTAATTGTGTATAATAGAACTATTTTCCTGCTCATCTGTGATGATATATGTTACAAAAAAGTAACAATTTTGAAATACGTTGATGGTTGTATTTTTTTGTATTTGATCTCAGTATTCCTATCAATGTTGTATAAGGGTTTTTTATGCATAATAGTGACCCTAGAATGTGATCAAACAGTTTAAAATAGCTGGGCTAAGATATATAACAATTTTTAAGACTGCAGAAATATGTTAATTCAGTATACACATTATCCCACCGGTTACAATTGTGACTGACCATAAAATAAACATTTTCACACACTTTTACAAAAAAAAAAAATTATTATTGATTATATCAAAGGGTTACTAATGACACATCATTTGGATATTTTCATGTCTGGGAAAAATTTGGGATTAAACGGGTTAAAATGCGTTTTAAACAAAGTTAAGTGGTTTTCATTACCCATTTTACTCTTAGTAATTTAATAAATTTCATAATTTAAAAGTTTAGTGCAGAAGAATCGAATCGATATCGACGATACTGCCTTGAAAAATATCGGTATCGTATCGAAAACAAAATAAGGGGTATCGCCCATCCCTATAAATGAGGTTAAAACGTGAGTCTGTCATAATTATTGTTGACGTTTTATTCAATTTTTATATCTAAATGTGAAAAGAATAAAAATAAAAAAAACTTTTAGATATCAGTCCGCATATGTGATGGACATTGGTTATGATCATCATTGGTATCCACGCTGAAGGCATCTTGAGTAAAACTGCTTCATATTTAACGAAGCATATGCAAAACGCTTGAACCGGAAGCGACGAGACCCGGTTAACAGAATACAGAAGTCTGTTGCGCATAACCCCTATTATAAATAGCCTGTGCCTATACTTTGTTTCAATTTTATTGTTGACTTATCGTCACATTTAATGTCCTCCCATTTTAGACAAGCAGGGGCTTTACTTGAATAATAAGTAAACAACATTAAGGATAGTTTCTTTTTATAGATGACACGAATTTATGAATTTTAACTCAAAGGCACCTCTGTGGCTTTTGGCGTTTTTTGATCAGGTCAGTCTAAAATGTCCATCTTACTGCCTGCGAATTATTTATCACCATATGGCTCACACACAACCCTTACAACATTAAATGAACTAGCCTACTATAGGCCTACTGGGTAACAGATAGATATTTCGATTTCCATCAGAATTCTCTCATATAGGTGAGTAGCCCACCTGTTATTCAAAATAGGCTGCCCAGCAGACAGTATGATACCTTCTCATTTATTTAAATTGGGCTATTTAATTTTACACATGGAGCATAACGTTCAAGTTTTAATAATACGAAATACAGTAAGATTTTTTTATACGAAATGTTCCAATATGAAATTAATTGTTCTAATAGCCTATAGAATTAGTCCTTTTGGGGGTCTCCTTCATCCCCTTTTCACAGTAGAGTTTGTAGTTGTAGGAGTCTCACTGTCGGACACCAGCAATTTCTTGTGGTGGGGGCAATGTTGATTTGCAATGTTGGGATCATTTACAACACCACGTTAAGTTCAGCTGAGTTGACAGATGTATACACTGCAAAAAATATATAAAAATTCCTTGATATTTTTATAGCGTTAGGGGTGTCATATACCGATATGATATTCTGTAATATGATATTCTTAGAAAAAAACGATAAGATGTATTAGTTGATAATGGACAAAGTTCTTAAATCAAACTATAGTTATTGATAGTATATAGACCTAGCCATTTTTTATTAATCAGAGTTTACTTATGCTGCTCCAAAAAAAAAAAGAGTTTAAAAAAACCTTGACATGTTTTTTTTTTTTTATTAAAATAAGTCCCCTATAGGATCCTGCTGTGTAGGGTTATATATGTTTTCTAGACCCAATAACATTCATTAGGCCTATTTACATCCACAACAGCCTAATATCATATCCCAAATTGGATCTAAAACGGGTAATGCCTTAATAGCATCATACCTGAACCTGTGTCTGATGAATAAAATAATATAGTAAATAACATAATAGCTTATATCTATACAGTCAGATGAAAATATTTAATATAATATTTCATATGCGCATTTTTAAATACCCTATGTTTGCTTTTTTCACATGAAGGGGCACAGGGTTTTACGATTAAATAATCTTCCGTAACGGTGTTAAGGTCTGTGACAAATGTTAAACAGAGAGGGTGCAATGGACGACGTGTTTTTTCCTGTCTAAGGCAGGGATGCTCCAGAGATCCGGAGCCGTAATGAGTTTGCCTGTAGGACGAGTTCTCTTTTGCGCAAAGACTTGTGGGTAATTCCGGGGCAGGCACATCCACATGCAGATATGACACGGCAGGGTGAAAGGTTATTTCAGCCCACCCCCAACCAGCTCACTCTGTAAATTCAAGTTGCATGTAGCCTACGAACGCATACGTTCTGAAAGAAGAATGCAACCTATGATATGGGAAGGAACTATTTATATTGTTGGCATAAATAACAACTGACTACTTTTAATGTTTGTTTCAGAAATGTAAATGGAGATTCGTTTTGAGTTGAACAGGGATTGTTTAGAGCGAGTCGTGTATAAAGTGTGCCTCATGATTTTCATAGACACGATAGAAACTTTGGGCTCACAGTCATGAAACTGTTCTGTGTACAAGAGAGTTGTGTTTATCGCCGTTTAGGAATGTATTCGTGCCATGAGAGGTTCGCATCGTGTTATTGAACGTCGCTCAACATTTACTACATCATCTTGAAAGCAGATTTTCGACTACTAAAATTTAGTGGAGTAGTCGTGCAATGTTTTGCTTGTGCTAGAACTTCAACAGGATATCTCTTTACTTCCGCCTTGACTTATCTTTATGTATGCCAATTTATCGTGCATGCAAAGAAAACATTTGACCAAAATGTCAACTAAACAGTTGCCTAAATGTGCCATTAATGAAATTACCAAAAAACTTATTCGAAACTGCTGAAACACTTGAGCTTCCCCGTAGAAAATTACTAGACAACTTAAATCCAAAGGAAATGTGTTCTTTGTTCTTCTATTGTTAGCTAAATCGCGACGAACAAACGTCCTCTTACCTCACTCTTTCTAATGTGAGAATCTTCTTCATCAAACTTTGAGCTCGCGATCCTTTGCGAAAAGTATGCGCACATTTACTTAATTTAACTTAATGATAAATGGGTTGCAATGAGCTTTTTTTATTTGTCACCGGACGTCTTTGCCATGCTGTGTGAGACTCCGCGCACGTTGTAGTGAGGTAGCCCACGCGGACCCCCACTTGGCGAGTCCGTCACGTTTGAGGGTCCAGGGCCCATCCTGATTTCACTGCAATAAATGAGTCCAACTATCAACTGTCTCAAAATAGAAGCGACAAAGTAATAAAGATTCAATTCTTCTCTTAATTAAAAATAGGCTAAATCACGCATATGAAAACAAGAGTTTTAAAATGTTGATTTATTCACATATAACATGGTTAGAAATCAGCAGCTTTATATAAATGTATTGTAACAGCCTTATATTATTATTCAATGATAATTCATCACCGCATTTCCTCACTGACTTGCAGCGTATGCATGGCACTTCCAAGTCCTGGTGATCAAAATGAAACTGCGTTTGTGATTGTTGTCAGATTAACTCCGATTAAGCTTCGTAAATATACTATGTATGTTTTGTTTTAATGAATTTATTGGCATCCCATATATAATTAATAAATACTGTACGTAGTATAAATAAATAAATATATTTAAAGACGGATCACCTGGGGCTAATCTTTTCCAGTAAACTGCATTGGAAGTAATAATATGATCAATGATTAATCGGAGTTATCCCGATTTTCTAAAAGCGATCAACTTTACAATAAATCTTAAAACGGGACAAAACATTTCTGAAGGCAAACCCCTCAACTCTTCAACCACGACGATGCACACTGGGTCGAAGATCAATCATTATCACTCATGTCACAATTGAGGGCTGTTCAAGCTGAGGTTTCAGAATCAAAGGACCAGGACCTGCGTGTTGTCTTTCAAATGATGTGTGCCCCTTGGATAAAAGTTATAGTGAGTTCAGCGGAGGTTGGAATAAAATTGACTATTAACAGTGCTAGACGGCAAAACGTTCAAATATCAGTGTATATGCGAAAAAACGATCAAAATGCTTACACGAATGCAGGTCCAATAATATTAGAGAAATTTTCCCATCGTTAAATAGGCTACATTTGTTTACTGCATTGCAGAACAACTACCTATCTGCTCTGTGAGGGTAAATAAACTCTACAAGTGAGAGAATAATTATAGAGCAGCTGCAGCATAAATAAAAGACTTTTAAAAGAGTTAACTATTGTATTTTCTTTGTATGCAAATTTGTAGCATTTATATGGATTTATATATTATGCTGACAATGTTTATTTCACATTTTAATTAAAATAAACAAGGTTAAAAGCGGTGTTATTTAAATATTTGCAGAAATTCAGGCTTATAAACATTCAGTTTTTTTGTCCGTTTGTTTGACAAAGCAGTTGCAGCAGGAGCCACAGTAATAAGGAGCTGCTAGGACTCAAAGCCGAAGGTTTATCAGGAGACCGAGTGCTCAGAATCAACAGGACAACGACTCACTTATAGGAAAGGTAGCCTGGAGTATAGAGTGACATACACTCCCTTGAAAATCTTTATGAACTGGAGTCTATTTATGTTACCGCCCCTTGCGAATCTAGTGAGGTGGGATCGCGTACATTCTGACAAACACCGATGCTGAATTTAGTACTAAAAGGGATGTGGTGGTGATTAACATGAACCACTTCCACCACATAGCTTATACCTCTCTGTGCACGCCATAATCAGGTAAACGCGGATGCAATATAGCATAACAGTTCATTATCAAGAGCAATAACTTGACAATGACGGCATAGAGGTTTTGATCCAAACTATTCTGTCATAAACTTATTTCAACCAATATATCAGTAATCAATTAATATTAAGTAATATGATGACAAATCGACATCTTCAACTAGCACTTCCAACAAAAACGTTTATGTGCGTTGAAAGCACCGTCAGCACAGAAAAGTTCAATCCCATAATATTGCGCTGGCTTGCTCATTCCGGCTCGTTTGCTTTTTTTATAATAGGCAAGATGTGAAGGGTGGTAGCAGGGGCAGGTCATTTGCATTCAAATGTTGGAATGATTGAAATTGCACAATTTAATGAATAATCTATTTATCTTCATTGTACCATAGAACATTCGCAGCAAAACATCGATTGTCTTTTGGGTTTTAAAAACCACCTGAAAAGCAAGGCCTTATACGGCCGCCCGGTTATGCACTGCATGAAAAACATAATATTCATGTACATAATCACTTTATTCAACAATGAACACCAATGGAAATTTGGAATACTGTATCAGGAGTGTCTAGTGTTTCAAAACATGTTTGTAAGGTTTTACTAAGAGTTTCGTAAAATAATGTACATGTGCATTTAAGATTAGCAGAAGGATTTTCTGTCAAATAATGTATGCCTGAAAATTGTATTGTATTGTATTGTAGTTAAAATTACTTTTTTCTGTTCATTCTCTTTCCTCATCATTGTAAAACGGCATATGTCTGTACACAGACGGGGGAGGGGAAGTCTTTGCTTGTGAAGACCCGTTATTTTCTCTTTCACGTTAGTATGACGTGGGATGGAGGCCTGCCTGATCTGTGAAAAAAATGGACCGCAAGAAGTATGAATAATAGCCTATCTTTCTAACTCGCACACACTTACACAGACCTAAAACTGAACAATTACGAGGGTCTTAGAACATGCTGATTAACGTACAAATTCTTCTTCTTTTTTTTTGTACACACGTGTTTCTTGCATCCTTAGCTCCTTCTACAATTCATATATCTTGATCGACAGTTCTTGTTGCAGAATTTGAATATGTGTATTAATTCGCAACTTGGAAAAAGCTCCGACGATTTCTCAAAGCATGGCTAATTTTTTTTTTATTCTGCACACATGCTGTTACCTTAAAGAATGTGCGTGCACACAGATATCTCAAGCACACAAAATGACAAAAAGCATTAGCTGAGTTAATGTATAATGTGATTTATGTTGATTACATTATGCAAAGCAATATCAAAGAAAATATAATTAAAAAAAAACACTATACACAATTGTTTACTACTCTTTTTTTTCTCCTTCTGAATTCAAACGAGTTTTGGGATTGGTCAAATCCTATCATCGATATTTTCATTCGGCTTTTAACTTGCCACTGTTATCAATGTTTGCTTCAAATTCCAAGTTTTATCTCTGTTTGAGTTAAATGCTTATCTCACTGAAATAGATGCATTAAATTTTGCATAGTGTATAATGATATTTAAAAAATTAAATTAAAATGCGATAATGTCATCACGACAATGTTTAATATGTAAAATAAATTTTAAAAAGCTGCACATCATTGTATTTGCTGCCCAACATACCCATCTGTCAGCATTATTATTTTTTTCACAACCACAACAACTCAAAGTTGTAACAATACTCCGACAAAATGACTAATATTAATTTCTAAGCATGAATTTATCACTAGCGAATTATTTGCTCTAATAGAGGTGGGATTACAACAGTATGGTAATTAGCTAGTGGGTGGGGTGGGGGTGGCCATGGGTAGAATATCCATTTTTATTGCATCACCTGTCAGTAACGTCCAATCAGCGTCGGCTTTGGGGGCATTAATTGATGAAGGTGTCTCCGGCCTTCCTCAGTTCCCACTGTCATTTTATTTGTGACTAAACCAGCAACGGGAATAGCAGCTGCATTCTGGGCTCTATTTCTCTCTCTCTCTCTCTCTCCCGCCCTCTCTCTCTGTGTCGCTCACTCCCTCTCTTTTTCCCTTCCCTAGTCTCCTCGCTTTTTATCCTTCTCACTGGCAGTGCTGTTCACCTTCCTCTTTTCCTCATGGCCAAATGGGAAAGGAGCTGAGGGAGCGCAGGTATACAGGAGCGCAGACAGGCAGCAGCCAGCCTGTCGGCAACATCACACACATTCCATCGATCATGCAGTGCTCAGGTCAATGGACTGATTGTTTTAATTCAAACAGGCCATTTCATTTTTATTTTTCTATTTAAAACTTTTTGTTCATCAAGCAGTGTGGACATGTCAAAGCCCACGCTGGACCGGTCAGCAGAATGCCTTGAAATAAAGAAGCAGCAGTAAAGCTACTTTAAGGACACCCGTCGCTCTAAATGTTGGAATTAATGCAATGAAGAAAATGGGGGACTTGGAATCCGGTTTTGAGGAAATGCAAGGTGTAAAGCTTGGCTATTTGGTTATCAAAGGCAAACAAATGTTTGCCCTTTCTCAAGTCTTCACCGACCTCTTGAAAAATATTCCGCGGACTACTGTACACAAACGTATGGACCATTTAAACGTGAAGAAGCATCACTGTGATTTGGAGGAATTGCGAAAGCTCAAAGCAATACATTCTATAGCTTTCCATGCAGCTAAATGCACTCTGATTTCAAGAGAGGACGTTGAGGCACTGTATTTTTCATGTAAAACTGAGCGGGTATTGAAATCAAACAAAAGAAGGGAAAAGAGAAAAAAATCCTCAGAAAAAATGTGCGATGGCAAAAACCGCACCTCTGCCAGAAGTGACTTTTGGAGAGAGAAAGTTTGGTTGAGTTTGCATGGCGTTCCTCAGACGTTCTCATTCAAAAGTAAAGCTGCTCGACAGGACCCTGTCCCTCGCACTCACTCAGATCTACCTCAAATTTACAGTAAATCCTTCGGCCGTGACTTCCAACCGGTCACGAAGTCGGCATCTACACCCTTTAAAAACTATGAAACAGATCAAATACCTGACAACTGTGTGGCTTTTAATCAGAAACATACGCTTTTTCGGCACGTTGTGAATCGGCAACCGCTGCTCTATCAGTCCGCCATTGCAGCGCAGGCAAAGCACCAAGGCAACGCAGACCTACTTTACAAAAGGAAGAGGAAGCGCGAGAGCAGCGCCAGGCAGTTTTGGTCGAGGAGCAGACGAAGCCATCCGGTTTTGGTCGTCCCAAAGTGCTGTAAACCAAAAGTTCCCAACGGATCTTTGAGCCAGTTTCACCACCTCGAGCATGGATTGTACGTCGATCCTCTGCACACTGGACATTTTCAGGAAAGCTGCAGCAGCGACACGGAATCTAGCTCCATCTCAGAACGGGTGAACAACGATTCGGATTTCGGGTCGAGTTTCTCTACCACCAGCAACTCCGGGACTTCGGAGGAGGAGGACGACTCTCTGTCGGATTCTTCAGATGTCAGCAGCGATGAAGAGAGCTCCTCTCAGTCTGATTCGAGCTCTGTGTCCAGTCAAGTTTCAGTGCAGAGTATTCGTTTCAGGCGTGCGAGGTTCTCAAGTCTCAACACAAAAGCACCTCTGCTCTTACAGCCAACTTTTCACTACAGGCCTAATGTGCAGAACATCCCCACTAACCACGGAGTAACGGCTACTTTGGATTGTGAACGAACTGGCAAAACTCAGAAATCGGACTTCACATCGTCCAGGGACGCACACGAGGATGGTGATGCCGCAACATTGCAGAAGTTCTGCCTGGTGCGGACATGTTTCCCAGATTTAAGACAAAACGAGGGCTCTGAAGCACCATCACGCCTTGAATTTTCAAATGATCCAAAGACAACAGACTGTGTCGCTAACAGAATTAAAGAGACTGGGCTTACACCTAATGCAAATGGAAACAATGCGTTTCCCCAACAAAGAATACCGGGTTCTGCAAACAAATGCTCCCAAGCCTTGATCTCCCACTGTGTTCCGGACAAAGAAATAACGGTTTGTAAGTCTTCTGACAGCAATCTTTCATTAGCAGCAAATTCCAAGTGGGAAGCAAAAACTTCCCTCAAACTGCCTTCACTTCTAAAACCGATCAAAACAGAGACCGAGGAGCCCATTAGTACCTCAGGCTTTAACAATGAGGGCAACAGGGCAGTAAAAACGTCACCATTTTTACTCAGCAACGTGAAGATTAAAGTCGAGGACACCTTTGACGAATATGAATATGCAAATCAGCCTCCGGAATATCAATGTAAGGATAATGACGCTGATGATCAGCGCATCAGTAATAATTTAAAGGAAACTGACCACTATAAAGCCACAGAGAGCGCCGTTCAAAAAAACCCTGTCTGTAACGAGGAATCAAGAAGCACTTTAAACACTCCTTGTTCCGAGGAAGGGGAATCCAAGAATGGTGCAAGGGTCAGAAAAAACTACAGGCCGATGCTTTTGGGTAAAAAAGCCGAAAGTGTGAGGACATTCGCGAAATCAGTTGCAAAAGTTGACCGGAGCCCCCGTGCTGCAGGAAAATTCGCTAGCAGCGAGGGATCAAATGAAGACTGTGCGGGCGCGAGCAAACGCAAACGAGCGAGCCCCAGTGTAGCATCTCTGAAAAATCCCTTCAGACTCATGGCGAATTTTCCCTCTCCGCCGTCTCTTGTTATTGGCAGCGATGGAGATTTGAGTACCGCTTACTCTTTGGACTCTTTAAGAAGTAACCAACTGCCTCATCGTTCTCACCCAGTGTGGAGATGGCAGCTCGGTCATTCAGTTGTTCCTCCCACTCCAAGCCACAAATTCAGGAAAGCCTCTGTTATTCCGTGAACTGTTGTTTTGAGCTCGGGGGAAATGTCTTAAAACCGTGACAAGCACTGATTGCCATTAGTTGTTTTGTTTTCATTGTTGTTTTCAATGTAAACGTTTTTGGCCTGTTGTTATGTTGCACACACCGTCCGTCCTCATAGCACAGGCGACAGGCTGGTCTATCCATCGAGGTTTGGGACTCGGGAATATATGGAGGTATTTATAATAAGCTGGTCTAGCAAAAAAAACAAACAAAAAAAAACAGTTGTTTTTAAAATGACAATACTGACATCGTGGAGCTGTTTTTGACCTGATGGACTAGACTCTCACGGAGCAAATGTTGGCTCATTTTGCAGGCACATTTCAGTGTGAACTGAAATTCTGATTTTGTTTTTAAAACCTCTTACTTTGTCAGTATATTTTGGGCCAATGTTTTGTATTTTCCCTTTATGCTTCATCCACATAGCCTACTGTATTTCTGAATTACCGTAGGCCGATGATCCATACCCTTCTTATTTATTCATTTTATGGGTGCTCCCCAATTGTTGGCGCCTGGCTGTGTTCACTCACACGCAGCGCACCATAACTCTCACGGTAGGCCCAACACAATGCCCCTCTAACTGACAATCAAGAGCTGTTTGATTTGCACGATGTAATAGAGGGAAAAATGCCAAATCAAACTCCTTCTTTAGCACATTCATAGCTTAAGGTATAGAACAGCTAAAGCACAAATTTACCATGCATTGCACTTTGCTAATGCCCATTAAGGTGAATTAGTGACGTGTGTTTTTATTTTTCGATTTTCTTATGCAAAAGAGCCATCGCAAGTTAACCCCCCAAAAAAACTTTTTAAATTCAGTAATTATTAATGTGGTACTATTTCCAATATGCTCGTTTGCTTTTGAGAGGAGGTTTTTGTTAGTCGTTCTTATTGTAAATGTTGCCGGTTTAAACGGAGCGAACTACAGACAGCTGCAAACAACAGTGTTTTTACATACGTGACGAAATCAAAGAAAAAAGACCTTGGTGCTTAGTGGAGTAGCCTATACACACATTCTGGTCAGGGTATACTTAGTAGGCTAAATGTTTATTTCTCTTTGACTCAAGTAGCCTTGTCCTTTTTGTACAGTGTTTTGATTGTATTTTGCTTTACTAGGCCTATTTTCCAAGGATATGGATTACCTTGGCACTGGAAAGCATAACCTTAAAAAACATTTAAGTGTTAACTTGGTGTTCCACTAGAGTACCCTGCCCCATATAAATGCCTTGTGATGAATGTACTGTGACGAACCATATTTGTTTACTTCAGCAAAAGCAGGCTGCCTCCAAAACAGGCCTTTAAAAGCAAATTGTATCTGTGATTGGATAAGCCAATGAGCTAAATTCATAATTTTGGGATTATATATTGCCAAGGGACGAAAATATTCAACTGCATTCTAATTTCCTACACAAAAACATAAATTCAAAGCCTGTGAGTTATCACTAAATGGGCATAGACTATGCAGATTTGGCTAAAGCGAGGCTACCGGGTTCACGCCATTCTGAGAAAACATGTAGGCCTAATAGACTTTAAGGTTATTTAACGTATTAAGGCATGGGCCCATTACGTGTACTGTTTTGATTAACGTGTACAAGTGGAGATAGACATTTTGTAGCCTATTAAGTGAAAATGCATCGCTTTGTGAATGTTCCAATATGCGATATAGCGTGACACTCTGACAGGTGAATGATTAAAATATAGTAGTTCTATATTTTTGTAACGTGACTATTTAATGCCTGCTCTCTCGAGCGTATAAAAGGAACTTTTTTGTTCCGTTCTGTGTCAAAGTGCTCTGCGGACTGACAGAATAGCTATGTCGTCCCAACTTCAGAGGAATGAATTCAAAACCAGCCAAATTAAAAAGAATGTAGCGCACATACCACAACCCCATTAAGTTAAAGAAATTAATGATCTCCACAATGAACAGAAATGGGAAAATGGGCGGTGACTCACTGTAAACATGGTAGGTTAGGAATTATCTGGTCAAGGTGGACTTTGTTTTGTTTTTTATCTTTCTGCTTTTGCTGCAATACTTGAGGTCTGATTTTGACATTTTTTTTTTTTCTTAAATTGAAGTCACTGGTTGTTTATAAAATGCATATTTATTTTTGTGATTTTCCTGGTTTTTGTATACCATTGTTGTGTAGGATAAATGCACTCGAAATGAAAACTTGAAAACGTGAGGTGGATTTTGAAGCACTTTCTTTTTCTTTTTATCGTGAAACTGTTCATTAAATATATCTGAGTGTGATGTGAGATGATCGTTCATTTTTAACTTTTAACTCATTAATATTCATTGTTATTATAACCGTATGTCCCTTTCTTGAGGTAACGTGCGGTTCAAGTAAATGTAAGATCAAACTTTGAGATAAGTTGTTTATTGTAAAGAAAAGTGTTGATGTGGGGGAGGGGGTTAGAAACCGACGGTCTCGTGCCCTGCTATACACACTATGCACTCAAGCACACTACTCATAAGCCTATAACCACACATGAGCACGCTTAGAAAGGAAACAGGAAAAAAGCAAGCACGTCTACTAGAAATAGCACATTTCAGACGAGGAGGTCTACAACAGACATGATCTGGTTACATTACCATGTTTCCATATCACAGTTTTTATAACTGTTTAATCTGCGTGAGACGAGGCAGCATTATGTCTCTGGTATAGTTTAGATATCTTTAAGATATTACGACCAACTCTGCTCAAGATAAGCTTCTTCGTCTGACTTCCTTTCTCCAAGGAGGGTAAGATTGAAAGCAGAGGAGCAAGAGGAAGAAAGAAAGGACAGAGTTTTTGAAAAAAGGTTTAAAAATGACACCATAACGGCGCACAATTAGCCAGAACTTAAATGCATTGCAGCTCCAGAGTTCCTGGTGTATGGTACGTCCTGAGATATAAGGGACAAATTAAATTGTTAACTGGGTAATTTGTGCATAAGAAAAACAAGTGCTAGACTAGTCGCAGTAGCCACTTGTTTGTAGACCTTGGTAAATGTGGGGATAGTGGGGGCTGACAGAGTCGGTGTCCTTCTAAATTACATGTCAATTTTATATGAATTATATACTATTAAATTCACCCAATTTACCTTTTGCACCATTAACTACATTTAATTGTATGACAGTGGTTCATATCGTTAACGTTTCAAAAATACATCACACATTGTATACCAGTGCGTGTAAAATCGGAGTTTTGGGCCAAAAAAAAAGAAAAGACAAATCTCCCAAAATAAAATTAGCATATGTAATAGAGTTATAATAATAAAATATAATAAAATATTGTCTGATATTGTTTATGCTTTAATATGTACACGTAAGCTGTTTCGTCCACAAGCAACAAGAAATCAGCCCTCTCTAAAACAGTTGGCAACAAATCTCTCAGACAGTGGAAATACACACAGTAGCGGTAGGCAGGACTAAGTCTTTCAGTAATCTCGTGAAATGTATAGTAGCCTAGCCTACAAAGTGTTCGTGGGTAATAAGAATGATGATTAAAAATAATCAATTAATTAACTGAGATAATCGCCTAGCCAAAGGATTTATACATATGTGTTTAAAACAGCAAGACGTCTGAATCAATATGTTTTGTGTATCTACAGGTAGGCCTATCAAATCACAGACAGCGGCTGCATGTTCTGCTTTAACCAAACCGAACGCACTGCGAACTGAGTCTGTGTGAAAACGGCCTTAAAAAAAAAAAAGAGTAGTTTAAGGCAGGCCGCATCCTAGAAATTAGAAATGGTAATTAACAAATTATATCACGGCGACCACACTGCACAGCGAGACGGATCTTGCACAGCGAAACATACAGACTGGTTAATTTCGAGGCCTGACTTCGCAGAATGGACTCGAGGTTTCATTCACAGAACTCAGCAGACCACCATTAGGCTGTTCAGTAGGAAAAGATTTTCGGTCTCCTAACAAATTTATGCTCAATCTGTCGTTCTCTACTCTGGAAAAGAACTAACCTAGAAATTAGCCCTAAAATGTTTTTAAATGTAGAAGTATTATAATGACAGTTTACTCATTGAACCTTGTAAAAGTCTTATGACTGACTGACCGACGAATTTAATTGACAATAGAGAGTAAATGTTGTGTTTTCATAAGGCTACACCATTCCGAATTGACAATGCAACCAAAATAATCCCGATAATCCACAAGAGGGGTCAATAGTAATCTTAATAAATGAGATAGGCCTAGGTTTTGCTTAAATAGCCTATGTTATTAAACACTTAACACTTATTAAACACGGTAAACTATCCCATTTACTGACTGATGAACCGTTCGCCTCATATTTAGACACGTGGTTCCAACAGGATAAGAGGCCTCATGGAAGCTTCTTTTGTAATGGGATCAGGACGTGAGAGGAAAATAATGCTGTTACGTGACCGGCAAAAAAAAAAAAAAAAAAAAAGCTCATCACCACGTTGTTAATCCTACAAAAACAGCGGTTCGAGTTGACACATTTTCTAATGCTTTTTACTCCAGTAAGTTATTCGAGAATGTCATAAAACATGAAAACCAGATTGCAATGAGATCCTTCAACGGTTATTCACACACACACACACACACACACACACACACACACACAATACACTATATAGCGAGATGACCAGTTACATTTTATGAAATCACAAACTGTCTATGTATTATTTAAATATACAGTTTGTGATTTCATAAAATGTAACTGTCATCTCGCTATATAGTGTATTGTGTGTGTGTGTGTGTAGTATATAGGCTATATATATAGCAAAAAATTGATATGTGAAAAAACAAATCCAACAGACTAGACCGTCCATTGGACTCAGTTTAAAACGATACCAGCATCCTTGAAAAAAACAGATGTGTCAGATGTGTCTGAACTTGCGTTATCTCTAGGATTAATAGCATGTATTCTAAAACAGTTATCAGAGTAGCCTATCTAGCTTAGTTGAGAGGGAGAGAACGGGAACGGGAAAGTTAGGAACGGGAGAGTTAGGTCTAAACAATGACATAGCCTATCTGCATCACTTTTACTCTGATTAACTGAGGACCTCGTCGGCCTCGTGGTAAGAGATTCCTCCGTTATCTGCATAAACCGAACGCGTATCCTGAAAGGAGCTACCTCCACACAAACACCAAATAAGAGGTTACCGTTTCTCTGTTTCAGACAATGACAGCAAAATACACATTGTAAGAGACTATGTTTAACTAAGCGAATAGAGTAGGCCTATTGCTCTGCTGGTCTTTATTCATCAATCATTAGGCTATTCTCAGAATTCACCTTATACCTTATGGTTACCCAGCAAATGTGCAATTTTATTTTCAACAGCGTCCCTGTTATTATTAACGTCCACTGAATGCAATTATTAGAAAAAACACAAATAGATTTTCTCTACTTCTCC